ACTTGATGAGACCTCATCTCTACAATAAATCAAAATGAGCTGGGCGTGGTAGTGCACGCCTGTAGTTCCGGCTACTTGGAAGGCTGAGGTGGAAGGATCACCGGAGCCCTGCAGGTCAAGGCTGCGGTGGCTGAGTATGCCACTGCACTCCAGTCTGGGCGACAGTGAGACTCCAACTCAAAACAAAACAAAACTTCTGTTTCCTTTTAAGCGTTCTGTCCTAAAGGGAAGAATTCTTTCCGTGTTTGTTTTGTGGAATTGAACTATGCATGCCAGTCTGACTTAGGAGCTGGTACTATTGCAGTTTCCCTCCCTCCAAGTGGCAGTGGCTTGTGCAACCGTGAGATTAAGGTGTCTGGGTATGTGACATGGGTATTTGTTCACTGGGCTGCTTCGGAATCACCTGCCTTTGTGTCTTTCAGAGTCTTCCCTGGAAAAGGAGAGGGAGACTCCCAGTCCCATCGACCCCAACTGTGTGGAGGTGGATGTAAACTTCAATCCTGACCCTGCTGACCTGGTTCTCTCCAGTGTGCCAGGTGGGGAGCTCTTCAATCCTCGGAAGCACAAGTTTGCAGAGGAGGACCTGAAGCCGCAGCCTATGATCAAAAAGGCCAAGAAGGTCTTTGTCCCCGATGAGCAAAAGGTAACCTGATAATCTTTATAAATAAAGGTGCAGCATTGATTCAGGGATCTAGGTGCTGTGCTTCTTCACATTTGGTTTTACCTGGAAAGCCCTCCCTCCTTGTGGACACCATTTAGAAAGACATGAGTTCAGCCAGACTTGGTGGCTCAGCCTGTAACCCTGTGCCTTGGGAGGCTGAGGTGAGTGGATTGCCTGAGCCCGTGGGTTCGAGACCCACCTGGGCAACTTGGTGAGACCTCATCTCTACAATAAATCAAAAAAATTAGCCGGGCGTGGTAGCGCGCGCCTGTAGTTCCAGCTACTTGGAAGGCTGACGGGAAGGATCGCCGGAGCCCAGCAGGTCGAGGCTGCGTGGCCGGGAGTGGCCACTGCACTCTAGTCTGGGTGACAGAGTGAGACTCCATCTCAAAAAAAAAGAAAGACATGGTTCAGTGCGTAGAGCCACGTCCTGCAGCAGTTTGGTAGAAATAGAGAGAGTCAGGTGGCATTTGGCCCTAGTGTGACTCCCTGTATTTTCTCTCTCCTTCCCTGGGCCATCGACTGTGTTGATGTTCCTGCTTCCCTGGCTTTGGCCCAGCCATTAGGCAAGTGCTCACTAGGCCACAGGAACTGGGGTTGAACAAGTCCTCGCTTTGAAGGACAAAAGATTGCTTGTATGTTGCCATCCCCAGGGATGAGCAAGCAGCTTTCAAGCTGATAGTTCTGTAGGAACTGGTGGGAAGAGAAAATGTTGCAGTTTTCCTATCCTTTCCTATGAAAATCCTACTTTAGAAAGGACTTTTCATCCACAGCTTTGAGTCCAGCAGACCTGGGTTCAAACTTGACTTTGCCACCTGTGTGTGACCTGTCTATGCCTCAGGCTTCTCAGCTGTAAAATGGGAGTAAATGAATCTGCCTCTCAATGAGTTTTTTAATTTGATGATGTTGATGATGGTAAACATTAATATGGTGTTTACTGTAGGCCAGGCACAGTTATAAGCACTTTGTAACATTAACTATTTAATCCCCAAACAACTCTGTGAGGTAGTTATTGTTATTACTTACCATTGTAAAGATAAGGGACCTGAGACATTGAGAAGTTAAGGAACTTACTGCTAGTAATCTTGCAGAGCCAAGATTTGGACTCAGGAGACTAGACCCAGGTTGCAGGTCCTTACCCACAACCAAAACACCTGAGTGAGCAGAGTGTAGACAATGCTTTATGCTGGAGCAGAACATAGCAGGCTATCAGTAGATGGGCTTTCCTTCCCTCCACCATGTAACCTACCAAACGACTGTGATCATCATCCTGCCCTGCTGAGGAAAGGGCAGTGCCCTCAACGTGCCTTGGCATGTGCAGCTCCTTCCCCAGGGTTCCAGCTTTAGTTCTGGCCATATCAGTTGAATTATGAGGGGAATCTGGGTGGTGAGAGGAGAAACATTGGGGTCTCTCATGGGAAAGACGGGAGACCCACAGACGGCACTTCCCCACAGGATGAAAAGTACTGGACAAGACGCAAGAAGAACAATGTGGCGGCTAAACGGTCACGGGATGCCCGGCGCCTGAAAGAGAATCAGATCACCATCCGGGCAGCCTTCCTGGAGAAGGAGAACACAGCCCTGCGGACGGAGGTGGCTGAGCTACGCAAGGAAGTGGGCAAGTGCAAGACCATCGTGTCCAAGTATGAGACCAAGTACGGGCCCTTGTAACCCGTGCCTCCTGCCAGGGCAGGGCACTGCCTGCACCTCAGACCTCTGCCTGGGGCTCCCTGAAACCCCTCACGCGCGTGGAGACTTGTGACTCGTCATGGGCGCATGGTGGCGCGCCTGCTGCAGGAGCGTCCACGTCTCAGCTTCATTATAACACGGCCAGCGCACGTGGCGACTCCCTGGGGGCCAGCCTCCTCACTCGGGAACGCAAGAGTCTACGTCGACGGGTGAATCGGCCTTAGTTTCTATTCTTGGATGCCCCAGTTGAATCGGAAGGGGACCTCTGGAGTACACATCTCTCCTCTTACAGGGCACTCAGGCTTTCCTTGACTCTCCCTCCGTCTCCAGCCTGGGCTGCCGAGGGCTGTCTCTGCAGAATGAGTTGTGATCGTTGTCACCCTTCTGTCTTCTCAGGTAGCAGGGCGCATTTCCACTCGGGGTGTGTTTGTCATGCACCTCACCCTTTCCAGAAGGTCTTTGAGAGAAACATCCCTTCCTGTCTTCCTTGGAGATAGAAGGACACACCAGCTCCTCCTTTAGCGTCTGCATGGGTGGCAGGCCACAGGAGCGGGGTCTTATCCCAGCCTGGGTTGGGGTTTGGATCTGGGCCTGCAGCAGAAGTGCACCTAACTTTTCTTAATTCCCACACCCTCTTTCCCTTGTGACTTTGAGCCCTGAGGTCTGGAAACAAGGGAGGGGGCCTTAGTGATCGGCTCTCTCTGTGCTTCATCTGCGGTGGAGGAGAGATGCCAAGGCAGTCTCTGAACCTTGACTGCCAGTGAGAGGGAGCTTCTTATCTCCTCTCCAGGCCACTCATGGATGCACCTGGGTCTTGTTTGTCCCGCTAGACTGGATCTCTGGGCCTGCTGTTTCTTTTCACCCAGTAACCAATCTCAGATTGTAAATTTTAAAGGAAACCCCCTTTAATCTAGGAAGCTTGAACTTTCTGTACCCCAGGATGCAGCTTCCTTATTTAGAAAATTGGCCTCCACAGCCCCTTCTACTGTGGGCATGAGAGCTGGAGCATGTTTCTTGAGAAGCTCCCATTTTTTCTTGCTCTGCTTACCAGTGTGACCCTTACCAGAGTCCACTCTTCGTGGAGAGAGAGAGGGCTTACCAGGTCTTGGTTCAGGGTCACCAGGGTTACAGACAACTCTCATGGGATAGCAGGCTCTTGGGACATTTACACAGACCTAGAGTCCCCTCAGTCTTGATCCTGGGAGACAGGAGCCACCTACATGAGACTGGCCATGATGTGGAGGGATTCTCACAGCTGTGGTTTCCTCTGCCTCCCAGCTACTCTTTTCTCTTGTGTCTGGCTGGACTCATCCTTTTGCTCTGCCCAGAAAATTAACTGAGGAAATTTATGGAACCCTCTGCCCATTTGGGTCTGTTGGGGCACCCTCAAGATGGGTGTGTTTATTTGCTCAGGGCAGGCAGCCTGTGGTAAAGAGGAGACAGAGGTGATGGGCGTGCTTTGTCATACTTAACACTGGCTTTATTTAAAGTGGTGGCCCCGACTTTTAAGGACTTTTCATAACAGACCAGGCCGTGGACTACACCCCAGAGGAATGACACAGTCCTCCAGGAACCTGCACACCCACCTCTCCAGGGGTCTTGACAAGGGTCCCTGAAGCCAAGGGAGGTCAACCCTCCCTCCGGGCCCCACTTGTACTTTGTGGTTCTCTAAAAACCATGTACACACTTTTCACTTTATTGTAACTACACAGGGCAGGTGCATCCAGCATGTCAGTGTCCTGCCCCGGGCAGCTTGCCCTCCCGGGCACTCTCCCTCCCGGGCATTCTCCCTCCCGGGCACTCCCCCTCTGGTCTGACCATTCACCAAGAGGGCAGCTCTCATTTTGTTACTGGTGAAAGAGCCTTGAGCTTAAAGCTCTTCATTTTCTTTGGCTAGAAAGTGTATGGTTTGTGTTTTGCAGTTTTACTTTTTAAAGGGATGGACACTTAAATCTCTGGATAGTGTCCATGTTCCAACCTCAGTGAGTGGGATGGTGGCTTGATGTCGCTCCTCTTTGTCCCACCTTCTGCCTGTTTGGTGCCCTCCCTTCTTCCCCCCAGGCAGTGGGTGTCGGGTTCTTTCCCAAAGTGCTTACTTGGAAAGAGCGCATGCGGCTGCTGCACTCTTAGGAATCCCCTTTCAGTTAGGAGCCTGGCAGGGATCGAACGGAGGATGTCTGCAGAGGTTGACGTTTGGGGAAAAGAAGTGCTCAGGTAAGGTTGTCTCCTCCTCTGACCCAAGAATCAAGTCTTTGCAGGAGAGGGTTGGTGCCTGCTCAGTTTCTGTCAGGGAAATGGGAGTCTCCTTGACTCCTTCCTGGGCCCTCTCCAGGGGCCCATAGCCCAAGACTGAGGCTCCTGTGCTCAGATCTTTGACATCTGTAGAAGCTGACTTTGACTTTCCATGGGTTCACGATGGACTTGGAAGCATCATCTACTTCCTAAGTGTCCACTTTGTGACGGCCTCATTGCAACCTCAGAAGAGACAAATCATGAATGATCTGGAACATTGTACCAGTGTATAATCTGGACGTAGGAACATATACAGTTAGGGAGAGGAAGAGCTTTCAGGCCAGATGGCAACTTTGTGGAGGACCTGGGTAACTCCTTCCTCTTGGCAGAAATAAGTTTGCCTATATGGCTCTTGAGGTTGGTGGGGAGCATTTAGCAGTGAACCTTAACCCTGGGTACGCATCACCCTGCTGAAAGGGGCTTCTGTGGCCCTGGGCAGTCAAATCCTGCAGCCCTTTGGTCTGAAACAGGGCGGTAGGCGTGGGAGCCAGTGGAGGAAGGCCCCTTTGTGTTGGGCAGCTCTCTACCCAGGGCCCTGGGAGCTATGCTCCCTGTAACACAAAGGGCCGAGGAGCTTCTGGTTTTCATGGCAAAGCTCCACCCCAGAGCTCTTTAACATCTGCTAATTAAGTGCAATAAATTTTTCTAGAAAATGGCAAAGATGACTTCCAGGTGGATATTGCTATCTTATGGTGTTGGGGATGCCAGAACACCACTTGGTTTTATTTTTCTAAGTGCATGTGATGTGATAGAGTGTGTGGGGCTCTGTGTCCTCCCCTGGGAGCTGGCATTCCAGCGGGCCCCTCTCTCTTTTACCTGTGTTGAGGGAAGGAGGCAAGAGAAAAATCCCTTCTTCCCAGCTGGAGAGGGCAGAAGCAGACTGTAGCCCATTGGCCTTACATGCGTGTGTGCGTGCGAGTGTGTCACTGCTGGTGGGCCGGAGTGATGTGGTGGGGAGGGAAGCCGGGAATGTATCCTTTTCAAACAAAATTAAATATTTTGAGATGAGAATTTGGGATTGTCTTTTCTGTCTTTCCTCTAACCCCTGTGTTACTTCTCTGCATGTTGGCCCAGGAATCTGAGCGTCAAGCCAGTACATTTTATTTCATTAGTCTCCATTCCAGACACCTCCTTCATCACAATGCTCTTGGCATCTAACCCCTCACCCTACCCTATGCCTCATTTTCCTCGTCTGTCAGATGGAAGTAATTCCTGCCCTGCTTATATGGAGGAAGGGCAAATATCAGACCAAAAGCAGTTTGAACAGATAGGAGTACTGTACAACTAGTAGAAAGACAGAGGTCTGCTTATGAAATGAGTTCCCAAAACAGGGAATATGTGATGGCAACTGTTAAAAAAAAAAAAAAAGAGTTGCGTCTAGTCTGGTGGTAAGATTCTGGGGGTTTTCCTTTTCTCCTTTTGCAAAAGTTTCTGCCTGTGGCCATAAGACTTTCACAATTAAAAGACAAATTTATACACAAGGGTGCAGCTACTTTCAGGGTACCAGAACTGTCACTCAGCATTGGCATCCCTGGTTCCCCTGCTCAGGCTGACCTGAGTCCTCCAAGAGCTTTCATCCAGGAGATGGGAGTGAGGGAATGGAATACACCACCCTTGGCAGTGCCTGCTGCAGATCCTTCTCCCTCTCCACCAGCTCCACTCTTCTTTTCTCCCCTTCTCCCTCCACTCCCTCCGGTGTGGAGCTGCTTCCTCAGCAAAGCCAAAGACTGCCCTCTTAAAACCAAGACTGCTCTTTCCTGTCTTCCCCATGCCACACGTTATTAGTGCTGGGGGAGGAGAGGAATGCATTTGAAAGCTGGGATCACACCTGTAATCGCAGCACTTTGGGAGGCAGTGGCGAGAGGATTGCCTGAGCCCAAGCATTCGAGACCAACATGGGCAACTTGGCAAGACCTCATCTCTACAATAAATCAAAAAATTTGCCAGGCTCAGTGGTGTCTGCCAGTAGTTCCAGCTACTTAGAAGGCTGAGGCAGAAGGATTGATTGTCTGAGCCCAGCAGGTCGAGGCTGTGGTGGCCATGAGCGTGCCACTGCACTCCAGCCTGGGCGACGGGGTGAGACTCCAACTCAGAAATAAATAAATAAGCTGGGCAATAAATAAATAAGCTGAAGCCTGGCTCGGTGGCTCAGCCTGTAATCCCGCGGCTTTGGGAGGCTGAGGTGAGTTGATTGCCTGAGCCAGAGGGTTCGAGACCCACCTGGGCAACTTGGTGAGACCTCATTTCTACAATAAATCAAAACATCAGCCGGGCGTGGTAGCACGCGTCTGTAGTTCCAATTACTTGGAAGGCTGAGGCGGAAGGATCGCCGGAGCCCAGCAGGTGGAGGCTGCGGTGGC